TGACGCCATCACCTTGTCTCAATTGCATAGAGGAGGCATGCTTGACAGCCCCAGGGGGAGTATAGCCAATGATGTGATTATCCCTCGGTTTGGGGGAACCCAGACTCTGACTACAAAGCATTTTCACATTCACCAGCTCCATGAAGAAAACCAAAGCATGATCTCTGACTCTCTAGCTCTTCTCTCATCTATACTACACCATGCAAATCCACAATGCACAGAGAGGTCAGGCCACAGAGGGTATGCATTAAAGCTGAGGTTTAGTTACATTTTTTTTTTTGCATACAGCTTCAGTAACATAATTTACCTGCAATAAGGTGTATCCCACACCCTTTTCCTTACTATAGGAATCTCCTTGGTAAAGCCGCTGGGTCCTCTTCACAGCATTGAGTTTTTAGCACTACATGTGTGCAACCGCCCCGAGTCCACTATTGAAGTACAGTATGTTAACAAAATACTGATGGCTGCCAACCACTTTCTCTCCTCTCCTCCATTCACAACTCTCCTTGCATAGTTGTTACCGAATATAGCATGCTCTGTGAATGGGGGAAAGGCAGATGAATGAGAGTATCCCCTCCCTCACTCACAGAACACACTGCATTTATTGAAATCAATGCAAGGAGAGCTGTGAATAGATAAGAGGAGAGAAAAGGATGGTGAGCCTCAAGACTTTTTCAATGCAAGTAAATATGAGACCCGAAGCAGTTAGCCCATGCATCGCCAGGAATTCGTTGCTGTGAAGAAGACCCAGCTTCACTAAAGAGACAATTTCTACAGTGAGAAGCAGTCAGCAAGACATAGGATACACTTCATCACAGGTAAGTTATGTACTTAATCTTCAGCTTTAATATCCTCTTCTTAAAGTGTTACTAAACCCAGGACCCTGCATTCACTATATCTGGTCTCCCACAGTACACAGAACATGGAAATGCAATTATTTTAGTAAATATAAACTGCTAAATACCTTTTCTCACCAGCAGTTAAAGCAGTATTGTGACTTCAGCAGAGCACTGGTTAAAACTTGTAGGAGGAGTTTTCTTTCAGCTCTGACCCTCTGTCTGGACAGTGCTGATTGGCCCTGTGCTGATTACATTCACCCTCCCAAGAAAAAAAAAACCTCTCTAGAAATACACACCAAACTGAGCATGTGCATGTGACCACGGGTTCAGTCTGTATCGGGTGGTCATTTCAACAAGAGGGGGGCAGAAAAGAAATGATTAAACAGCCTTTTTACACAATGCAGAGGATTAACCCCATAGGTTCCACAGTGAGTATAAACAAGCATGCTTTACTGCGTATACAGACTGATTTTACTGTTGTGGGTTCAGTAACACTTTAAGGATCCCCTTCTCCGGGAATATATGTTAAGGGTGCATGAGCAAAATATGCATTTGCCATTTTATTTGACACTGAAGTTAACATTCTGTACAGCCAGTCATCTGATCCAGAAACCACTTCAGTTCCACTGCACTGGCAGCAAATCCTTGTTAAGAACATACCATCCAGCAGATAGAGGAAGCTAACCCTCAACTTACTCTGCTCTCTCCTTCTGCCAGCATGACTGCCTTCTTGTGCTGGTCTTCCCTCTGCCTGATCTAAAGTTGTTATAGTTTCATTCCATTTCTTAACAGGGATAGTATTTAAATGTTTGGTATGAATACATAACAGCATTATTGTGCTTTATCAGCCAAGTGTTCATATTGAAACAATTGCAAAGCACACAATACTCCAATCACGCTGCTGCTCTGCTAATTCCAATAGATAATCAGATGAAATTCCCTATAGGAATTGCAACTAGGCATCATTGCCCTGGGTGCCAAACCACCTTGTCAGACATTGTTCAGAGACTGATTAACAACACATTTTTGTCAGGCTAGGCTGCAGCTGACATTTGATTACTGGAGCAAGATCTGTCATTTACAAGCATCCCTTTAAAATAGTAATGTTACTTCTGTAGATATGAAACATTTATTAGCTTTTGGCATTGTTATCAAAAACAACTCACTTTGGATACATACAAGAACACTGAGGACTCCAGAGCCAAACTGGAAAATATGACATAATTCGTATAAAAGAATCTTAGAATAGAATACACCAGGGGACTCCAAACTGCAGCCCAGGTGCCAGATGCAGCCCTTTGCTTGCCTTTATCCAGCTCTTGACGCACTATTCATCACACTGATATGAGACACTATTCTGCCCATTGACACCAATAATGGAGCATAATTCCTGCCACTAACACAACAATGGGGCACTATTCCTCCCACATGGGGCACTGTTTGATCCTATTGATGCCAGAAAAATTTCTATTCCCACTGGCCACAGTCCAGCAACCCAAACATTTTACCCCCGGTTCACATATATGCGGCAGTGCAGGCAGCGTTTTGCACGGGCACGAGAGCCCATTCATTTGAATGGACTCCCGTGCCTGTGACATGTAGGGAAGAAGTCCCTGCACTTCTTTGGAAAATGCAGCCCGCACTGGAACCTCGGTTCCCAGTACGGTTGCGTTTTCCAGTGCAGGCGGCATGCCATTAGAACTAATGGCACCCGCCCACGGGTCCGCATTTCTCTGTGAGGGTGGTGTGGATGCATGGATTTTTGTGCAGATACGCAGCAGCACCACCCGCAGAGATGTGAACCTAGGGTTAAGGACAGTGAACTGGCCCCTTTGTTTAGAAAGTTTGGAGAACCCTGCTCTATAAGACTCTAATGCAGGCCATAGACGGGTTTTAACATCGGCTGATTTTTCGAACGATAAACGAAAAATCGGTCGTTCATTTGGCCAAATCGGTCGCAAATTTCCCAACATAACCGATAATGTGAAAGTGCAAAATACACAAAAAAACGGACTAATCCACTAACGGTATGAAAATCGGCCGATTTTTCTTTCGGACGACCAATCGGACGATCAACGACCCATCTATGGCATGTATACGACAACTCTAAGCTGGTAATCACTACTTCGGTAAAACAACACAGAACACAGCGATAATCCTCATAGATAGTGCCCCCCTCCAGTTTAGTGTAGCTCTGGTCACACAGGGAAAAGCTGGAGGGATCCAAGACTGAAGCATTGACAAAGTGCCACCCTACTGGAACTGAAGCACTGTGGTGGCAATTGGAGAGGAGAAGCTGTGTGCTATTAGGCCTGTGCCAGGCTACTGGTTGTCAGCCTTCCCTCCTGGCTTCAGATCACTTGTTCAGCAGTCTCTGCCTCATGAGGAATTTATCTTCCTTGGGTGTGTACAGGACTTGTAAGAAAAGGAGTTAAAAGGGCCTGCATAAGAGCAGGGTGAGTAAATAAGCACTTCACTTCTTAACCCCTTCACGCCGCCGCCTCCTGGCCCTTTAAGGGTTTCAGAAGCCGGGAGGCGGGGCGGGGTTTAGGGTCATGTGACCGCCGTGACACATGATTGGGAAAGGTCTCGATCGAAAGAGGGGATCGGGACCTTTCCGTGAGTACCGGTCACGTGTGCTGGGAGCACGCAGGGCGACGCTCTCAGCACATATGTTCTTTTTTAATAGAAGGCAAATGTGTGGCCGCTCTGCTTCTAGGCCCAGATGCCAGGAGGCCTCACATTTGCGTTTGGCCAGGTGTGAAGAGGTTAAATAATGGAGTTTAAAATAAATTTAGATTTAAAATAAAACAAACATCTATACTCACCTAAGCGGATGCAGCATCAATCCAATGCTATATCTGTCCCCTGCCACCTCTACACTGAGAACTGAGCAATCCCAAAATGCTGATCTCTCAGTTCTCAGTCTTCAGTGAGCAGAGAGCAGTGACTGTCAATCACCGTTTCTCTACTCTGCCCACATTGGAGTACTAGGCTGTGCAGGGAGCAGGAATGGCTGGCTCAAGTTCTCAGCGTTGTGTTGAGAGGCTGAGCCAGCTGCTGGTTAAGGCATCTGGGTGGATCCCGACAATAAAGCTGGAATCTCTCCAGAGTCTTAGCTGGCTGAGTGACATTAGTTGACAGCTTTAGCCTGCTGTCGGCTAAAAACGGGTCACAGGAATGCAGAATAAATTGCACTCCTCTGAGCCCCAGGAGAAGTAGGGCCAAAAGATCTTTGAGCCTACTTCTCCTTTAAACAGATCAGTTTTGAATGTTGTAATAATGGGAATACATTATGAATGACTGCACCATTTCAACAGGATCTGCCATTCTCAAAATATTTGCTACTTTCTTGTTAGATAATTGTTTAGAAATCTGTACACACTCAAACTTAAGCTGGCCAAAGACAGATCGAAATATGGCCAGTTCAGCAGGAAGAATTCAGTGTGTGCAGTTTAACCTGCTCAACAGAAGTCAACTGTTTGATCGTCTTCTGTCAAAGAAACAAGTTGGAAAACTTTTCTCCATCAGCTGTGCAGTATATCTGCTGCAGCTGCTGATCAGTGTATTCTGACAGTGGTGGATCCTGCTGTTAGAATACAATGTGCTGGTGGGGGAGGAGGGAGGAAGAGGGGTGGAAGAGTCCTCCATCCACCTCACTTGTGTAGATGGAGGAGTCTGCATAAAACATCCAGTCTACAGTCAGCTTTATCTAACCACTTGCCCTCCAGAGGATTTCTTCTCTTCCTGACCAGGCCATTTTTTACTTTGACTGACAATTGCGTGGTCATGCAATGCTGCACCCCAAATTAAATTTACGTCCTTTTTTTTCCCCCACAAATAAAGCTTTCTTTCTATGGTATTTGATCACCTGTGCGGTTTTTATTTTTTGTGCTATAAGCAAAAAAAGACTGACAACTTTTTTAAAAAAAAAAAAAAACAATATTTTTGACTTTTTGTTATTATGTCCAGTAAAAAATGTAAAAAAAAAATCTAATTTTGTCATAAATTTAGGCCAAAATGTATTCTGCTCCATGTCTTTGATAACAAAAATCCCATTATATGTAAATGAATTGGTTTAAGTGAAAGTTATAGCATCTACAAATGGCGGTATATATACTGGAATGTTTTTTTTTTTTTTTTACTGGTAATGGTGGCGATCAGCAACTTATAGCGGGACTCCAGTGGGCATTCTGATACTGGGAGGAACTGACTTGGTGTCACTGACATCCCCAGTGACACCAATACAGTGATCAGTGCTATTAAAAAGCACTGACACTGTACTAATGGCACTGGGCAGGAAGGGGTTAACATGTGGGGCGATCAAAGGGTTAACTGTGCTCTGTTTCACAATGTGCTGTGTGAGTGCTTTCCACTGTAAGTACACTGTGTTGTATGGCTCTGCTATGCAGAGCCATACAAAGCAGTGTGCAGGAGCTGATAGGGGAGAGATCTGTGTTGTTAATACACAGGTCTCTCCCCTGTTGAGATACTCAGAGATCACTGGGTGCCGGGCGAGGAATCACCCGTTGATTGACACCTGAGGCCGCAAATGGTGCCGCGGGTACAGCATGCACGTTTGCCCTCTACCTGCACTACAAAATCACATATATATACAGGATTTTGCGCACCCGTGCCGCCGTAGCAGTATTTCTGCTATAGAGCGGCATGGAAGTGGTTAAAGACTCTATAGAGAAAATACTGTATTAACCCCTTCATGCCCTTTAAGGGGTTTCTGATGCCGAGAGGTGGGGCAGGGTTTAGGGTCATGTGACAACTGTGATTGGCTGTCACGCCAGTCACGAATCCGAAAGGTCTCGATCATAAGGAGAGATACGGACCTTTCCGTGGGACGCCGACACGTGCTGGGAGCGTGCAGGGTGCGCATTCTCAGCACGTTTGTTTACAAATGGTACTCAAATATGCAGCCACTCGGCGTCAAGGCCCTGCCACAGAGAGGCCGCATATTTGCGTATGCCCAGCGTGAAGAGGTTAATGTAATGTACCCAATAACAATTTAAAGTACATAATCCATAGACATCAGGCTCGCATTACAGTTTGTCTCTTAAAAGCTCATCTGCTTTTAGCTGTCAGTTTGTAAAAAAATGTTGGTGCAACCTACATATGTGTAATGTACAGTAGTGATGGTAATATTCATCTGTGGCCAATGTGCGACCCTTTTTGAAGAAGTTGGAAGTGACGAAACGCGTCAAGGACGTGACATTGGACGTAGACCGGAAGTTACGGAGTGGCCATCTTGAGATAGGTTCTGTATGTTGAACGCTGGTACCGTGGAGACACATGAGTTCTGTATTCAAGTGATATGCGATTATATTCCTTTCTGATTTTATGGCGCCATGTGGACATTGAGAGCTGAAGTAATATCGGAGGAGGAAATCCATTAATATTTATGCTTGTGGATTGTGCAGTCCGGTAAGGTGCATGGTTTGGAAGGTGGTGGAGAGTGGATTCACATTGCACTAGTGCTGTGGAGGAGGGGAGCACTTATTCATATATATATATCAAAGGATATTACACTATTATACGTTCTCTCTGAGGTATCACCTATGGAGGGAAGGATGCCTCGGAGCATCGGTTCTTGTGGAACTTTGTTATGGAATGAGTTTTAAAGCTATACACAAGTTTAGATAGGGTAAGAGTAATTTATACAGCCGCATAGAAGTGGGCATTGGGTGGTTTTTTGCACACAATTAGCACTGGGTTTTTGATTTTATTTTCGCTTTATGACATAGGGATAATGCACTATGTAGATTTTTTCTTTTTGAGGTACACATGGATTACGAAGGAATGCTTTCTTGAAGGTGGATTGATTAGGAGCACAAATTTGTATTGATTTGAGGATTTCACAGACGCTGAGAAAGTTTTTACTTTGACAATGTGCACACTACGTAATTCAATGTTATCCCACTAGACCTCCAGAAACCTACAAGGGGGACCCCCAGGGCTTCTCACATTGTTGAATCTGGCACTGCTGTTATCAGCAAGCATTGTTAATAGCTATCTCAGTGGACTTCAGAACACTACAGAACACCTCCCCCTCTGTGAATTACTTGATGCGGCTGGGAGGAAGAACCACCAAACACTTTCAGAGGGAGGGACCCCCAGGGCTTCCCACATTGTTGAATCTGGCACTGCTGCCAGCAAGCATTGTTAACAGCTATCTCAGTGGACTTCAGAACACTACAGAACACCTCCCCCTCTCTGAATTACTTGACGCAGCTGGGCAGACAGAGCCCAGCAAATGCTGCGGCTGGCAAGAAGAACCCCCAAACACTTTCAGAGGGAGGGCTGATTTGGGGGGGGGGGGGTCCGCATGTGGGTGAGACATATAACATAGTCTAAAAGGTGGAGTTACCTTTTAAAGGCAGGCACCCCACCTGAAATCTCAACAGTGGGAGAGAAATTGGAAAACCTGGTTTCCACTTGTATCTGAAAACTGAGTGGCCTGAATCCAGCTTTACATTTGATATTCACATAAACTGTCTGGCAATGGCCTGCACTTCCCAACTTCAATCTCAAGCCTTTAATCTATGAAATAAACTCTGCTTTTTCCAGAGACAATTATATTTTGATTCTGTGTAATTCAAGATCTCTTCTGGAAGTAATTAGAATTTTCTGCTTCTGTCCAAGTTAGATGAGTTAAACAGTGCAATTATTTCTGCTGTTTATTGCTGCTGGATAGAATAAAGTTAATCAGGATAATTTATTAGCAATGCTATTGTAGCACTGAAAGAGGAAACTGTATGCAAATATCATATTAGGAACTGGACTTACGTCCTGAGCAATGAATACAATTGCCTTAACCTGCTTTTCACAGATTATATAACTAGGGAGGGTCACCTTGCTAAAAATAAGGGGATGAGGACATGTGCATTAAGGCACTTTAGGGACTTTAACATCTAAAGAGAAAAGTTTCAGTAGATCAAATATTTGTATGATTTTTAAAAAAAAGCCTGTTAACAATTTTACCTTGGTTTCTGGTAAAATGCAAATTAACTGATTTCCCAAGCCACAGTATTAAAGCAGACCTATAGGTAAAACTTTGTTTTAGATGGAGTAAGAAAGGGTTATAACCCTTGTCAGTTTATTTTTTGCCATCGGTGTCCCATTGGGGAGATATAACTTCACTTTCTGTCCCATAGCCAAAGCAGGAAGTGAGGGAAAATCACTGAAAATTAAGGGGATTTCTTGGGGAACCCCCAGGTCACCAGAACTAGTGAACCCATTGGAAAAATGTCCCTCTATTACTCTGATAGCAGAAAAATGAGTCAGCAGACATAAATTACACTTTTTGCTCTGGATTGACACAAGTACACATTATGCTTTGTTCCTATTTCATGTCTGAGGTTTCCAGCCACTTTAACCATTGTCTACCAGGCACTTTTACCCCCTTTGTGCCCAGGCCAATTTTCAGCTTTCAGTACTGTTGCACTTTGAATGACAATTGCGTGGTCATGCAACATTGAAATTTTTATCATATTTTTCACACAAATAGAGATTTGTCTGGTGGTATTTAATTGCCACTGGGGGTTTTAATTTTTTGGATTATAAACAAAAAATAGAAACCATTTTGAAAAAAACATTTTTTCTTTGTTTCAATTATAACATTTTGCAAACAGTTAGTTTTTATCCTTCACTGATGGGCACTGATAGGCAGCACTGATGAGGTGGCACGGATAGGCAGCACTGATGAGGGCGCCACTGGTGGGCATTAATGGGGCAGCACTGATGGGCACTGGCAGTCAGCACTGATGGGCACTGGCAGTCAGCACTGATGGGCACTGACAGGCAGCACTGATGGGCATTGATGAGGTGGCACGGCTAGGCAGCACTGATGAGGCGGCACTGGTGGGCATTAATGGGGCGGCACTGATACCCTGAAGAAGTCACGTGTTGATCGTGACGCAACGCATCGGTACGCAGTGACAGGACTTCCGGTGCGCGGTGATGTCATTTCCGGCGTGGGGGCCATCTTGGAACACCATGTATATACACCCACAGTATGGGTAAAAGGCTGGATTGTGCTGCAATACATGTGAGTGTGTTTTTTTTCTCAGTGTTTGGTAATAAATAAGGATTTACGCTATGGAGGATCTCTATTTGTTTTTAATATGATCTACTGTGGATGAGCGATCATCTGGAAGTACCAGGGGATTGGAGAATTCAGGAGGTGCACTGGTCTATGTGAATATCCAGGAGGGTCCATCTGGTGGAGACAAGGCCATTTATATATAAAAAAGTGTGTTGGCCCTTGTGGTCACTGTGAGGAGGTGAGGGGGCATTTTGGCTATGGTGGATTCACGATTTGTTTGGCACTGGAATCACCTCACGTTGTGCTGAATTTTACATGTGAGCCTTTTTTGTAGAGCACTTAGTATGATTTGTGCAGTGTGTGGACTTTTTTGGACTTTTATTTATCTTTTACACTGAATGCACATTTGCACCATTATAGTATCTACATTTCTTTTGATCCCCCAGGTAGGGGAGTCATTTTTTATATATTTATTGTGTGTGCACTATTCACATGTGTATATTTAGTTATATGATCTTTATGAAAACATGTTTATTATAGTGTTCACATTTAATTTTGATCCCCCAGGTGGGGGAGTCATCATATACATCATATATTTATTATTATTTATTTATTATTGTGTTTTGCACTATTTATCACATATCACATATGTATATTTATTTGTACAATTTTTGTGTGGTACGTTTAGAGTGGTATTTAATTAATTAATTTTTTATATTTGCTAGTATTTATTTAGCGCTACACCAATTTATTTATCTATTTATTACACTTTGTGGTTGAAGGGAGGTGTTTAGCAGCTTAGGTTAGGGATTCATTTAAGCGCAGGAGATAGTTTTATAACTATAATGGTTGAGATAATCGTCTGTATAGCACGGTCACAGCAGGCCGGTTATACAGATGGTTACACAAAACACAGTAGCGCTCTTTTTAGAGGCAGGAATTCGTAAATTGCAATAAAGAGCTATAGAAACAGTTCTTCTTTCAGAAAGAAAGATTTATTACTAAAAGGGCAAAGGGGTGCATTAAAAATATTTACAGAAAAAAAAGATGTAACCAATATATATATAAATATACAGAGAGAAGTTAGAGGGTTAAAGTACTTGCCAAAGTCCTGGGTGAGCAGATCAAGTTTCAGAGCGAAAGGGCAGTCTCCCAAGTTGGTTCTGATGTTAAAAGGGAGAATTCTTCAACTTAAGTTTCATAGGCCTGACAGCTCATTTTGTAGTTCCCCAGCAGGGGGTGTCTCTGAAGTCAAGGACCAATACCCCGTTTAGGGCGGGAAGGTCTGGGCCTACCAAACTGTTCGTCTCCTCTTGGCCAATCTGACGATATGCCTGGTTTTTATGTGAGTCTCTCATATTCCAAGCAATGAGACATAGGAGAAAAATGGATTTTAAAAGTGTTTATCTGGTTCTTGCTTCGTTGGAATGCCTTGAACTCCTGGGAAGGCTTGCTTTATCTTTTACGAGGTGTGATATTGCCCAGCTCTCTCAGACAACCAGGCACCTTGAGGC